TTTCCTAAAATCTAAAACACCAGGAGTACAGACAGTCTTCCTAGGAGAAGCAGAAGAGGTGAACTTCTTTTTCCATGACACGGAAGCTCATCTGAATCAAAACCAGAAGCTTTTGGACCTTTCTGCAATCGAATCCATGCTGGGGTGTCAGGCATTCAGTCTGGCCTCCTTGACCAGAACTGTCCTCCCTCACATGCCCTGACCCTCTACACCCATTTTGACCAGCCTGCTTCAAAGCTAAGACTCAACAGCCAGCCTGCCTGGGTTCACTAGCTATGAATTCTTGGTCAAATTGCTTCATCTCTCTGTGCCTCAACTTTCGTTAAGAGTCAAATGATAATACTATTACTACCCACTGTGGTGGGTCATTAGATGAGGTTACCTACTTAGAGGGTTTGGCACAGAGCAGGTATTTGTTAAATGTCAGTGACTGTCATCTGATAAATTAATTGAGCTGATAGTTACTTTATGTACTACCTGCAGAGACTAATTGCCTGTAGACTGAAGTTTTTGTTTTTTAACTTTTAATTTGAAAATAACTTCAAATTTGCAGAGATGTTGTAAGAATAAGAATAGAACACCCATATAACCTTTAACTAGATTCACTTATTGTTAGCATGTCAGTCCATTTGCTTTATTCTCCTGTCTCTTTCTATATGTGTGTATATGTGTGTGTGTATATATAATATCTATACATTTGGAGATATATATATATATATATATATAGATAGATAGATAGATAGATAGATAGATATATTCCACTTGAAAGTAAGTTACATGTCATGAAATTTTATGCCTAAATTTTTCCAAAGAATCAAGGTATCTGCTTACATAACCACAGTATAGTCATCAAATTTAACATATAATACTAATTTTAAATTTATTTATTTATTTTTATTGTATTTTTCTACTACCATTTAGTCCCATTATTCCCCCTCCACCCAGCAATCACCACACTGTTGTCCATGTCCATGAGTCCTTTTTCCTTTTTTGCTCAATCCCTCCACCTGCTAACCTCCCCCTCCACTTAGCTGTCATCCTGCTCTCTATGAGTCTGTCTATTTTGCTTGTTAGTTCAATTTGTTCATTAAACTCCATATATGAGTGAAATTGTATGGTATTTGTCTTTCTCTGACTGGCTTCTTTCACTTAGCATAATGTTCTCCGGGTCCATCCAGACTGTTGCAAAGAGCAACACTTTCTTCTTTTGTATAGCTAAGTAGTACTCCACTGTATAAATGTCCCATAGTTGTTTTATCTACTCACCAGTTGATGGACACTTGAGCTTCTTCCATATCTTGGTAACTGTAAATAATACCGCAGTGAACACAGGGGTGCTTATGTTCTTTCAAATTAGTGTATTGGGTTCCTTCAGACATATTCCCAGAACTGGGATTACTGGGTCAAAAGACACATCCATTTTTAATATTTTGAGCTCCATAATGCTTTCCACAGTGGCTATACCAGTCTACATTCCCACCAACAGTGCACAAGGGTTTCCCCATTCTCCACATCCTCGCCAGCCCTTGTTTGTTGATTTATTGATGATAGCTGTTCTGACAGGTGTGAGGTGATATCTCATTGTGGTTTTAATTTGCCTTTCTCTGATGTTTAGTGATGTTGAGTATCTTTTCATGTCTATTGGCCATCTGTATGTCCTTTTTGGAGAAGTGTCTATTCAGGTCCTTTGTCCATTTTAATTTTTTTGTTCTTTTTTGTGTTGAGTTTTATAAGTTCTTTATAAATTTTGGATATTAACTCCTTATCAGGTGTATTGGCAAATATGTTCTCCCATTCTGTGGGTTGTCTTTTTATTTTGTTGATGATTTCCTCTGCTGTGCAAAAGCTTTTTAGTTTGATGTAGTCTCATTTGTTTATTTTTTCTTTTGTTTTTCTTGCCTGGGGAGATATAGCCAATAAAATATTGCTATGAGAAATGTCCAAGATTTTGCTGCTTATATTTTCTTCTAGGATTTTTATGGTTTGGGGTCTAAAATTTAAGTATTTAATCCATTTTGAATTTATTCTTGTGTGTGGTGTAAGGCGGTGGTCTAGTTTCATTTTTCTGCATACATCTCTTCAATTTTCCCAACACTATTTATTGAATAAAATATTTTTAGCTCATTGTATGGGCTTGATTCCTCTGTCAAATGTTAATTGATTATAAAGGTGTGGGTTTATTTCTGGGCTCTCTATTCTGTTTTATTAATCTATGCATCTGTTTTTATGGCAGTACCATGCTGTTTTGATTACTATGGCCTTATGGTATAGGTTCATATTAGGTAGCATGAGTCCTCCAACTTTGTTCTTCTTTCTCAAGACCACTATGCCATGGGGGGCCTTTCATGGTTCCATATAAATTTTTGAAATATTTTTTCCAGTTCTGTGAAATATGTCATTGCAATCTTGATAGGAATTGCATTGAATCTTTGGGTAGCATGGGGGTTTTAATGATGTTAATTCTTCCTATGCATGAAAACAGTATATGCTTCCACTTATTTGTATCTTCTTCCAATTCTTTTTTCAGTGTCTTATATAATTTTCTGAGTACAGGTCTTTTACATCCTTGGTTAGGTTTATTCCTAGGTATTTTATTCTTTTTGAAGCAGTTGTGAATGGGATTGTTTTCTTAGTTTCTTTTTCTGTTAGTTTGTCATTGGCATATAAAATGCAACTGATTTCTGGATATTAATATTGTAACTTGCTTCTTTGCTGAATTCACTTATCAGTTCTACTAGTTTCTTGGTGGAATCTTTGGGGTTCTCTGTGTACAGTATCATGTCATCTGCAAATAAAGACAGTTTTACTTCTTTTGTAATTTGGATGCCTTTTATTTCTTCTTCTTGTCTGGTTGCTGTGGCTAGAACTTCCAGTACTATATTGAATAAGAGAGGTGAAAATGGACACCACTGTTTTGTTCCCAATCTTAAGGGGAATGCTTGCAGTTTTTGCCCATTGAGTATGATGTTGGCAGTGGCTTTGTCATATGTGGCCTTTATGATGTTAAGGTATGTTCCCACTATTCCCACTTTGCTCAGAGGTTTTTTTTTATCATAAATGGATGCTGGTTTTCATCAAATGCTTTTTCTGTATGTATTGATATGATCATGTGGTTTTATCCTTCATTCTGTTTACATTGTGGATCTCATTTATTGCTTTTCAAATGTTATACCAACCTTGGATTCCCAGAATAAATCTCTCTTGATCACGGTGGATGATCTTTGCGACGCATTGCTGCATTTGGTTTGCTGATATTTTGTTGATGCTTTTAGTGTCTGTGTTCTTCAGGGATATTGGCCTATACTTTTTTTTGTAGTGTCTTTATCGCATTTTGGAATTAGGATAATGCTGGCCTGTGAAATGAGCTCAGGAGTCTTCCTTTCTTTTGAATTTTTTGAAATATTTTTAGAAGGAAAGGTGGTAGTTCTCAGAATATTTGGTAAAATCCACCTGTGAAGTCATTCAGTTCAGGCTCTTATCCAACCTACTGTCTTATTACAGTTTCGTCAGCTGACCAGTAATGTCCTTTATAGCATATTTTTCTCATAAGAGAGATCCAGTCTGAGATCAGGCACTGTCTTTAGTTGTCACATCTCTTTAGTTTACTTCAATCTCTAACATTTCTTTGTTTTTTAAGACATATGTTAATAGAATGTTTGTCATGCTGGGTTTAATTTTTCCTTATGATTATATTCAAAATACTGCATTTCTGGCTGGAGTACTGTATATGTGATGTTGTGTCCTTCTCACAGTGTCACTCTAGGGCACACGATGTTCATCTTTTCTTTGCTCATATTAATTTTGACCATCCAGTCATTTGTTGCCTAATTTCTTTACTGTGTGGTTGCTATTTCCCCCCTTACAATTACCAAGCAATTTGTGGTGATACACTTTAAGGCCATGGAAATATCTTGACCCTCATCAGATTTTCCTCCTTGTTTTTGTATCCACTGATGATTCTTAACCTGATCTATGCAAAATGATGGTTTTCCAATTCCAATGCTTACATCATATTTACATCAGCTTTTGGCATTGTGCTGTAGACAGAAGCCCTCCTTTCCACTGTCAGTATTTGCTAATAACTCCTCTCCCTAATGTGTACTTGTTTTAGTAACTTTGTTGCATTCATTGGATGTGTATCTGCAAGTGTTTAGGTTGTTCTTCCTTCCCTCCCTTTCTTACTTTATCAGTGTAGTTCATGAATGTCCATTTTTCTCAACAATTTATAATTCATTATTCTCCTTAACTGTTTTGGTGCTCAGATTGTCCTGGATATGACTGGTGATAACCCTAGGGTTTTGAAGTCAGTTTATTTACTGAGAAGCTTCATAAATGTCACAAAAGGCAGTTATCTATGTGTCAGAGACAGGCCTGTATCACTGAGATAATGGTATCATTGTGGTAGCCATGAGCCTTTTCTGCAGGTAGGACATGAGAAAGAGCATTTTTTTTTTATTGTAAGCCTCCTGCCATTCTTTTGTCGCTGTTTCACACAGGCAACAACAAGCAGAGAATTCTCGAGGTTCAGGCCCGCTGAGGGTGGCAAGGAAAGATGAGAGCTCATTTATTAGGGGCTCCAAACCCTGGGCATTTCCTTGGTCAAATTATAGCATGATTATCTCCTCTTATTTCTCTCAAGGACATTTTACTGGAAAATTGGTGGTACAACAGTAAGAAAGCACATGGTAACGTAGTATCAAAGCATATTACTCCTGCTATTATTAACTGACTCCTGCTAAAATAACTGACACTTTAGCAGCACTTACTCTGTTAGGAACACTGACATAAACACTGCAGTTATACCATTCTATGAAGTAAGTTATTATCTCATTTCACAGATGAGAAAACTGAAACACAGAAAGGTTAAGCAACTTGTCCAAGGTCACACAGTTAGTGGCTGAGGTAGATTTAAATCCAGTCAATGTAGCTCTAAAGCCTGATGCCTAATTACTGAGCAGGGACAGGTAATGGGCGTTCATTCCTTGAAACTCTTGACCTACCTGACGTAATGAACAAATGCAATCAGCAGGCACACCAAATAGAAGGAGAAGAAGATGAGGAAGCTGAGAAGAATGGATTTCACAAAAACGGAATCTGAGGGGAGAGAAACAACTTTAGTCAGGATGTCTTCAGGAGAAAAGAGGGCCATGTTTGGGACAGAACAGCTTCAAGGCCTATCTTTGTCACGCTCATTGTTAAGTCCTGAGATATCTCCACTTAAAGCACAAAGCTACTGGGAGTCACCCAGACATTATATTCACAAAGGGTGGGCTTTCACCATGATGACTTCCTTGGGGAAGCCAGGAGGCAACTTCCTATATATGACAATTTCATAATTGAGGTTCCTTTCTTTCTGGAAGGGATTTAACAAAATGCTTTGATTCTCTCTTCTATCTCTAAGGTGTAGATTAATTTTCTCACAATATTTCTCTGGAAAGATGGCATTAGCATTGAATTACATAATCAACTGCCTGATATAGGACTCTCTCTACTGAATACCAGAGCCAATTCTGACCTTTAATGGAAGGGACAATTGTCACTTTCAGGTTCTTTGTTCGTTGTAGATTCCAGGTTTGGTTTTCCTTTTCTGGTTAAAAAAAAAAAGGCAAAATGGATCAGATACTAGACTCCTGGCCCCTCATCTAAACAGTTCAAAAGCTGTGCAAAATTAACTCTGATTGCTGAATTTTCTTTTAAAAAGAACTAGAGGAAAACCTAACCCCCCAAGCTTTCAAACCATCTAATACCTCTCTTTAAAAGAAGATTTTATTTATTTATGTTTAGTGAGAAGGGAAAGGAGGGAGAAAGAGAGGGAGAGATTAATTGATATCTGGTTGCCTCTCACGTGCCCCCCTAATGGGGACCTGGCCTGCAACCCAGGCATGTGCCCTCACTGGGAATCAAACTGGTGACTCTTTGGTTCTCAGGTCAGCACTCAATTCACTGAGGCATACCAGCCAGAACATCTTGGTTAAACTTTCAATTTGGCCTTTGTCTGGGTGCATTTTGGTAGTGCTAACAAACACAAATGAGACTTCAGCCTAGGGAGGCTGAATGAAGAAGGCTTGACCCTTTCTCTGATATTCACATGGTTCAACGTGCGAGGGATACATGAAGAAAAGAGCTACAAAAACAGGAAATTACCTCATCTTTTGGTTTGAATTTTCCAGCCAGTGAGAACCTGTTTTTTTTTATATATAGTCATCAAAGAGCTTGTAGTTTAACAAAGAACATTGAACATTAGCAAAACTTTATACAGCTATGTAATTAAGAGATCAAAGAATGCAGGAACAGAAATTTCACATAAATACCAAGGGAACCATGTTCCACTTAAGAGTAAACATCCGCCATGTTCATCACATATCACATCAGCTGCTGGGGACCTGTGTTTTCAATCAACTGCCTATTCCATTCCCAAGGTAGTTACTGGATAACCAGACAGCTCCCCAGAACCATTTGTACTGTGCCTCAGAGCTCACACAGACCCTGTTATTGGACAAGGTGTCCCACTTTCTTACCTTGCAAGCTACAGTTTTGGCAACTGAAATTGAGAACTCAATTTTCCTTGCACATCCTTGTAGAAATGATGACTACTGATAAATATAAGTGACTCCATTACTTCCGGCTACCAAATTGATCTTAGAAAATGGACCTTGGTCTGCTGTATACAAATCATTACTTCCCAGTAGCAAATATTTGTTGAGTAAAGAGCCAATTTCACATGGTCTGAGGGAGCACAAGATTTTGAAGTAATACAATATACTAAGGAACATTTTGTAGTATCACTAAAGCCTTTAGATCTATCATTTTCTTCTCTTTATTTTTTTTCAAGTATCTCTCAGACCACCTTCCCAAGTCACTGCTAATGACCCTCACTTGGAACTGGAAATGGTTGTAAAAGGCCAAAGTGAGCATTTGACTTCCCTTCTATTCTCCTTGGTCAGGTTTTTCTAAGTAGCCAAATATTCCTCACGACCTCTTACCCTGGATGAAGAAAGATCCTCCGCAGGCGTAGTCTTCCGGCTTTATCACAAACACCACGAAGAACTGCTCAGCGGGAAAATCCTTCTTCTGTGTAAGACATAACAATCTTTTTATTTATTTATTTATTTATTTTTTAATTTTTTTTATTTTAATCATTGTTCAAATACAGTTTTCTCCTTTTTACTCCCAATCCAGTCCCCCCTCCCACCCACCCCACTTCCCTCCCATTACCACTCTCCCCTTAGTCTATGACCATGTGTCCTTTAAGTTTGTTCCTGTGAACCCTTCCCACTGACCCCTTAAATTCCCTCTTCTCTCCCCTCCGGTCACCATCAGCCTTTAGCGCTCCACTCCGTAGTGGACACTAGCTAGGTTTTAGAGGACAGGCTGATGGAGACATAACAATCTTATGATATGGTTTTTATGTCCTTATGATACGAAAGACAGAAGGAGGGAGAAAGCCCACAGCAGTGGGATGGGAGCAGAAAGGAGGGAAAGGAAGAAAGGTAAAGTTCACCCTTGCTTCCTAACTTCTTATAAGAGACTTCCCCATATCCACAATCACGTAATTACCGCATCCAAGAACTTAAGGTAAATAGATGCAGTCTTCCAATTTTAATCTATCTTGTGCCCACTTGAGTGCTTAAAACTGTAACAGGTGCCATATAAGTAATATGTCAATGGCCTGTGTGTAATAATTAATACTTATACATTGTTTTTAAAATGAATAAACTTTATTTTTAAAGCAGTTTTAAATTCACTACATTAATTTTTTATTATTTTCAAATCTAATGATAAGTGACTTTGCTAAAAACCATACAGTCAGCAGATAAATAAGCAGTTTAGTTTAGGGAGGCAAAGACAAGTCAGGAGACCTGGGTTAGCCGTGGCTCTGACTTTCTCTAAGTGTGCTTCTTTGTGTCCCAGTTTCCTTATCCATGAATCAAGCATGATTTGCAAGACGATCTTTCAGGTATATTGTATTTCTACAACTTTTGTTTTCTTTTAACAACCCCAGATTTCTGGTATCATCACTGAGAAATGGCCCAAGACTGAATCATGGGTCTAGAAGAGAAGTAACAATTTATTGCCAAATATATTCAAAGTCATTATGTACTGATATGCTTTGTGCTTCATTAATTTAGTTTCCTGGCTGATGTAAAATATGAGTTCTTTTTAAAAAAAGGTTTTATTTATTTATTTTTAGAGAGGGAAAGAAAGAAAGAGAGGAAGAGAAACATTGATGTGCAAGAGTTGCATTGATTGGTTGCCTCTCCTGAGCCCCCAACAGGGGACCTGGCCCACAAACCATGCACATGCCCTGACTGGGAGTTGAACCAGCGACCTTTTGGTTCATAGGCCTGCACTCAATCCATTGAGCCATACCAGCCAGGGTGTGAGTTCTTTATTATTATTATTTTTTTGTCCTTTATTATTTGGGACCATACAATGTGAACTGCTAAGAAAGAAAGAAATATCTGAGGCTGAGGAAAATTAAAGCTGGACTGATAGAAGTTTATAGGTCTGATACCAAAATTATAATTAACCTCTCTTCATTCTTTGCTATTACTCAACAAAGAGCATCAAGTCACAGATCCTTGAAGTAATACTACCCCAAAGTCAGGAACAGAACCTCCTGGAAAATATCTGGCATGTGTGGATATTTTTGCTGTACATTTACCATTGAAACAATAAATTAATTACAAATACCAAAAGGGCAAATTACTGTACAGATATGTACAGTAATGGTCCACAGATATGGTCCACATTCCTTTGCAAGTGTCCGTTCCACCCAGAGTTGAAGTCCTCTTTTGCCTACCATTTCTGTCAGAAATGGTTCTGTGACTGTGCTTAACTGCTTTAGATGGATAAGTTTCACCCTAAATTGGCATCCCCCATTGAAAAGACTGAAATACTCTGCCTTTGCCATTCTAAGCAATCTGTCAGATATATGATCCACTGCATGATGGGTTCCCAAGATTCCACCATTGCCCAAGCTTTGATTTCAAGCACAGCAATCTCTCTTTTAAAACCATCGAAAAGGGAAGAGATCCAAGGCACACAGTGAATGGTAATTCCTTTCGGATGCTGCTCCAGGAGGTAAACTGACACACTGTCATTGACAACAGTGACCATGCCATCGATGTCTCACCTGTAGTGTGATGGCAGCTTTCTTGGTCATGGACTGATAGACACCATTAAATTCCACATTGTGGTCAAGATCATACACTGGGCACTGCAACGCAAGGAGGGATAAAAAGGAGAGTGTCACTAATGTCACATCATTCCATGCTGCACCTGCCACACGTACGGAGAAGGGACTTCCTTACTGAGCCGTAAGCCATAAAACCAAAATGTTTTTCCCCAGAACAGTCATGAAACTGTCTCCTAAAACTTCGTGGCTTGTTCTCTGAAGTCAAGGTCACTTTATACCAAAGAGAACTGAAGTTATCTTACAGTTTATAATGCCTTTCCATTTTTTATTAACACCCTGAGACAGAAAAGGCCTAATGTTACAACAATTTTTTTAAAATTAAATTTGAGGTAACATTGGTTAATAACATTGTATAGATTTCAGGTGTATTACATTATAATTCTATACTGGCATATGCTATTGCATACTCACAACCAAATGTCTAGATCTTCTCGACAGCATATATTTGACACCCTTTACTCAGTTCACCCTTTTCTTCAACCCTCTTCCCAACCCTTACCATATCTGTGAAGTTGTTTTTGTTTTATTTGTTTATTTTTTGTTTTCTATTCAACATATAAGTGAAATCATACAGTTTTGTTATTTAAAAAACTTAGGCCCTGACCAGTGTAGCTCAGTGGGTTGGGCATTGTCCCACAAAGCAAAAGGTTTGCCGGTTTGATTGCCGGTCAGGGCACATGCCTGGGTAGCAGGTTCAGTCCCCGGTAGGGTGTGTACAGTTGGGCACATATGAGAGGCAACTGATCAATATTTCTCTCTCACATCGATGTTTCTCTCCCTCCCTTTCCCTGTCTCTAAATAAATAAATAAAATCTTAAAAAAAAAAGAAAAAGAAACTTAGAACAAGTGATAGGTTTCCATCTTCCCTCCTGTACTCCACAACTTCGTCTTCCTTGTACTCTGTCATGATGATACCTCCCTGCCTGCCTCTTTTCCTCCCTTCATTTGATTTGGTGACAAGTCAGCTATTCACTATCACCCCAAACCAATGTGTCCAAACACTGACTGCCCAAGGTACCGTTCTTCTATAACTTAGCAGTTTTGCAGGAGACACATAGACACGTCCTCCACCCTTCCCTTTTATTTATCCTGGGGCAACATAATTCTCCATACTGGAAGGTGGGCAACTTATTAAGACTCACCATGATATTCTGGACTGAGACAACAGAACACGGATAAGCCATTTTAGATACAACTTTAATGATAACTGAGTCCACGTCTTCAGGAAATTTGTATAGAAAATACTGAGAATGAGAAAAAGAAAGACATGATTCATTAATATTAAGAAATGTTTACAATGACAAACTCAAACTGTTTTCACATGAGTGGGATCATTTTCTCTAACATCAGGCACAAAGTTCAGGTGCCAATCTCATTCACCTCCGGTAGGTCAGCCAGCCATTCATCTCACAGCTGCTGAGCGACTGCTCTCTGCAGGGCTCTGCGCCAGACAGAGGGACATATCAGTGAGTAAAACAAAGTAGCCACTTCATACAATATTGCCATATGATTTTCTATGGTTTTTCTTTCTCAACTATGCTTTCCTATACTTCCTTGCAGTTTCTACGTGAGAAGATCCCTCTAACCTTCGAATTGGGGACATGAGGGATGTAATGTGAGACAATTTACTTCTGTGTGGTCATTTTGAAATATGAAGCTCTACCTTGAAAAGCAGGTAAGCCTGTTCTTCAAGAATCGTAACCACCTTTCTATAGGCAAGAATTAGCACTAGACAAACCCCCACCCTTTTCCCCACCCCCCGGCCCCACCAGACTCTTTCTAAACAACTTATTTTTTGTCTGGAATAGAGTGAGATGACATTTAGATTCAAAGACCAAACTTTATATCTGCCCCCCTGAAATAGATGAAAATAGATGTTCACAATTTTGGTCAGGCTGAGATATCTCTAAAGTACTTCTCAAATATCACCAGAATCGGGAAACATAGTAGAAAGAGGTTATACTATTTACCTACTTACATTATAAATGCCCTGAAAAAAATTACCTCTACCTTTTAAAGATATCACTAATAACGAAAAAAGGGACTTCTGCCCAATAGTTATAAATATGGTAACTGGTTGAGAAACTTGACATAAAATACATGATCCAAAATTTGAGGGAACCGCCCTGGCTGGGGAGCCTCAGTGGATTTGAGTGCTGGCCTGAGAACTGAAAGGTCTCTGGTTCCATTGAAGTATCTCTCGCATGCCGATGTTGTTCTCACTTTCTCTCTCCCTTCCCCTCTCTCTAAAAGCAAATAAACAAAATCTTCTAAAAAATTAAAAAAAAAAATAAAAATTTGCGGGTGCCAACCAAAACAAGTCCTATATTTTAGGACTCTGATAAAACTATCACTTTAAAAGACAGGCAAAACATGTCAAAACTTAATTTTGCATTCCAACATCCTCTTTACTAACCTTATTTGGAGAATCAGAGCAATAACAATAGGATGTTTTTCAATAATCCAAAGCCTTCAGATCGGGGAGGGGTGGGGAATCCCAAGATTAAGAACTGTCATTTAATGCTGCTATTTGGAAGTCTGTTCACACCTTGTAACAGATGGCGACACTGCCAAGAATGCACTTGGTTTTGTGCTTTCATTTTGGAGCTTGATTCAAACGCATATAACACAGGAATCTTCCAAAGGTGAATATTCTGGAATTACCAAAAGGTGCTCTTGCTCCCCAGTGAGACCCACCTTTCTAATTCAAGAACAATACTATGATTACTGTTAGCAGAAACGAGCAACAGATACAGATACCTGCATATTACAGGGGATGGTTTTGTGCAAGCAGTAGATACCTACTGAAGCCTTAGATAAGGCAAAATATTATCAATCTTCTTTATCTCTAAATTGCCATAAAGCCCATATAAATATGTTTGAACCTTACCTTAATAATCTAACTTTTTATCAGAAATAAGCAAATAACAAGTACCCAAAGCAATGGCTGGAATTTAGGCCAAGTCATTATCTTGGGCCCTGATTACCTGTCCAGTTTCTGTAACTTGCTTCTACCTGCAAGAATAGGGGCAGAAAGTGAGGATGAAGGTTGTCTGAGAATGTGCAATAGTTAGGGTGAGCTTATAGGAATGGAAAATCTTTTCTACAGTTGGGGAAGATATAAAATTCAGGCCAATATGGGAATAATTAATAGTAAAAGTTTCACAGATACTGAAGAGTTTCTATTTTGTTTCATTGGTTTGTTCTAAATATATTTCATTCTTGTTTGGTGTTTATATGCACACTACTTAGGCTTTAATATTTATGTATCATTTTATAAGAAAAGGAACCCATAATCTATAATCATCACTGACTTCCGATCCACAAAACGGAAGTGCATTACAACATTCAGTATATCCTATTTACTGTAGCTCTGTTCAGAACCACTAGGCTATACTCATTCTGCAGTTGGGGTGCAAGTTTTTTCCTCCCTTTCTAGATGTCTCCCATTGCACTTAGCAGCCAGTGCTTTCAAACAGTTCATGAATGAACTAGCCAATAAAGGTTGAGGGCAACAGTTTGCAAGCCTGTAGTCCTCTTCTACCACTGGGTGGTAGTCCTCTTCTACCACTGGGTGGCAGTAAACAGGCACTGTGGACGCTTCCACTGCCAAGAAACTTAACCGCGTGTGTGGGAGTCGGCTCATACAGGTTAGGGGAGCTGATGGTGCACATCTCCCCCCATTTCTGTGTTCATCGACCACGTCAGCAGCTTGAAGTTGATCATGGTGAAGATGTTTATGCCGCAGAAATGGGAAAATGCTACAAATCAGGGTTTTCTCTCTGAAAACTAGTTGCTAAATATTTATCATGACACAAGTGGCTGTAATAAACTCACAATAGTGTCCATATAATGTTGATCCCAGCTTTAGTATATTCTAAATAAAAATTAATTATCCATTTATGACCAAAACTGTATTAGAGCCTGCAGAAGATTTACAATAAATATCAGGACATTAAGTAAATCTGTTTTAAACTATTGCATAAACTTTACTTTTTCAGAAGCCATGAAAGAATAAAAAGAAGGTAACTGGAAGTGTCACCAGAAAAGTAGCCTGAATAACTGAAGTTTTCATGTATTTATTCTGAATAGGATTATGGTTTAATGTAGAGCACAACACAAATTCTAATTCTTATTATAATTTTTTCGGCATTCTTATTCTCTTTACACAGGTGAAACAAATTTATTCCATCCATAACACTGTAGAAATTAAAATTTGTTTAATTTTATTGTATCTCCAGGTCAATTAATCATTTTTGTATGTGTTTAGTGTTGGCCTTCCACTTCCTGAGCTCAGTTTCCCACCCTCACCCCGTCCTGATTATCTAGGGTCCATGAGGGCAGAAGGTGCATCTTTCTCTTCTTCATTCTGCTATCCCCAGCACCTAGGACAGTCTAACACTGCTTGGTGCATGGTCTGCTGAATGAAAGTTGAGCTAAGGAACATCTACAAACAAATACCATGCTTTCCATTTCATACTAATTTAGGTGATAAGATCAAATGTTGTGTCCAAAATCCTAGTAACATGAATAATATTCCCAAAATACTAATGTATCTTCAGTTGTGAAACATGAACAGCAGCACCACATGCTGGTTCTACTTGTTCCCATAGTTTCTTTGAGTAAAACTAATAGCAGTCATAACCTTGACACCCTTCACTTACCTGGGGTTGAGAGGGGCTGGCAGTGAAGTGAAAGGCAACATTTGTCCTGAGAAATTTAAGTGGGAGAGGGGAAGTGAGAAAAACGCATAACAAGTTAGCAAGCAAAATTTATTTAAAAGAAAACAATCTTAAACTACATGCAAGGAAAGCCTTATGCTTTGTGAAGGGAGGGTTACTCTCAGCAAACTTACAAAGTAAACTGCATGGAAATTTGGTGGTTTCAGCTCTCAAGAATGACCAAATTGGGGATCGAGTCAATTTTACATCTTTAAATACCCATGAAGTCGTACCTATACAAGTAAGTACTTGGTTTACTTTTGTAGACATATTTGCCTTTGCATTCTCTTAAGATTTTATAATCAAGCACAAGATTTACGTGTCAGAAGTGGGCTGAAAGAGAGAGGAAAAGATTTGGAGTCCTTTTGGACAATGAACATAACATGTCAGGATAATTTTGATGTATCCATGGCAAAAGATAATTTTTTAAAAATGCAATGAGTAGATAATCCCCATGGTAGTGTCCCTAGGTATAGGAGTGTGCTCTTCCTGCCCCCAAGCACCTCCTCAGTGGTCTGCCACGCCAGCTGAAATTCTCCACCAAGATTTTGTTCTCTGTGGCTCAGGCCTTGCTGTCAGGATCTCCTTTTCTATTGATTATAAGACCTTAAGAGAATCCAAAGGCGCAAGTATCTACGAAAGTAAAGAGTGAACAACACCAAAAGAATATAATGGAGTTTTCTCTCCAGTTAGTAATTTCCTGTGAACTATTCTAGTAGGTACATTCATGCTTCTGTGAAAGGCAGCAGTGACCCAGAACTGAGGAAGGAAAGGAGTGGCTGAGGAGCGTGCAGCTGTAGCACGGGGGCTCTCCTGAGTGACTGTTTATGAAACCGTCCAAGAGACGGGAAAACACAAAGACAAGTTTGGTCCTCACTACAGTTTTGTAAGGGCTGCTTTGGCCTTTTATTCTTTCTAGGTTTTGCTCCATCTTTAATGTGAAGGTCATTCATATAAAACCCACTGCAGACTCTCAGTGTGTGTACCTGGGGAATGGTGTCCCCCCCACCCCTCCAATGTGGCCCATTTTTCAGGAAACCTGAACCTGAACTTCTAGGAATTTTCACCTGGACTTCTTCTGAGGTCCCTCCTCATAGCCTGGTGCTCTCTAAAGAGTCTTTCTCTGCATTTCTAATTTTCCTTTAATAAAAATTAAATAGTTTTAAACAATTTTATTAAAGATTCCTTTAGAAAGGGCATATCAAAACATGTAAATAAGAAGTTTGTAATTGAAGGTGTTGTTTAAAAGTCATAAAGTTTGAGCAGTATTTCTAATGGTAATGATCAACAATTTAGGCTGTGGGCAGCCTGGGCTCAGAATTTAGCAATGGGTACAATTTTTATATGTCTGCTGTCAGCAGAAATCCTCATCAGTGTCGAGGATGGGTTTTGCGGAGCATGGTTGAAAATTTGTGGCCTTAAGTCACCTAAAGAGTCAAAGTCAGTGTCAAACCCAGTTCTGTGTGTGCTCCTGAGATGCCACAGCCAGAGCGAGAACCCACAGTGCTGTGTGTGGCTAGGTAGTGGCCTCTTTGCATGGGGAGTGTCATCTGCTGTTACCAGGGCAACAATTCTGTTCATTGCCAGGTCAGGGGAACAGAACGGACACTGCTTTTCTTGGCTAGCAACAGACAGCAGGAGGTTTCCAGAAGCAACCAGTTTTCTTTGGCCAGAAATTTGGCTTTTCATTCTCTCCTATCACTTGAATTCCAGTTGTAACAGAATATAGGGGCATCAATATGAATTTTCTGAGTCTTTTTTCTTTACTAGTACAAAACATACAAATATTGAAGACATTGTTTTTCTTTAAGACTGACACATTTGAGTCCTCTCTTTCTCATGGAGTCAACAGTGTGTGCAAAATAAACACCGTGCCTATTCACATGAAAAGTTTTGCTTTCTTTGCCATAGGCTCTGACAGAGGTGTGCAGAAAGTTGTGCAGAAAGTTTACTTTTCAAGGGTCATTAACCAGCAGGACAAAGCCAATTGAGACTCGCCTTTCATTTTACAAAAAGAGGTACAGAAACTTCATTTTATTTGTTTCAAACACAGAAGACAAATGTTTATTCAATAAATGTAGGAAAAACTGAAAACTGACTTACTCCCCTTGTTTTGGGTAGTTTGAGAAAGAGGGAACAAGAAAAAGAACAGATGGAGTCAAGAGATGTGGGTGAGCAGATGAGACAGAAGAAGAGAGAGGCTAGTGGGAAAGAGAGAGAGCAGCACCCACAGGAGAGAAGGAAAAGGAAAGGGGGTGGGAAGAAAGGTAAGCGGAAAGAGAGGCAAGGACAAAAGCTAAGTAGTTTTTGAGGTGAGGGCCAGAGAGGACTGTGAGCTTCACGGCATATTACCCACTTTATGACAGCAAGTCCCTGTCACAGGGCAGAGAAGGCATTCTAACCCCCCACTTTGTTGTTTAAGGAAATTATACCCTATTATTCACTTGGACTGCGGACTTTATAATGTCACTTCCTGTTACCTCCTGACTGCCATCTGTCATGAACTCCCTTCGTGTACCCAACCCTTCCCCCAATGCTCTGGGCCTCTGTCACCCTCACGTCGCTCTAGTCTAAGTACAGACTTTGCCCGCATGCGCTAAACCCTGTCCTGTCTTCCCTTCTCTGGGACTTTGCTCATACAAAATCCAGCTCTCCTATGAATTTTATTTGTCCTTGTACCCCTTGGTTTATAAATATACTACTCTAGTCTCAGCCATTTTCAAAATAAATAACAAAAGTACTCCAACAAATTTCCTCCCTTTTCCCTGTATGTCTTTACCTCAATGTTGTTCTACATTCTCCTTTTCCTTCACAATCCAGCTTCTTAAAAGAGTGTTCTGCTCTCATCTCTCCTTCATTCTTTTCTCTTCCCACTGCTGTCAGGATCCTTTTCTGCTTTAAAACATATCGGGAGCCTCTTCTCACCATTCCCCTGAAGTTGCCTTTGCTAAGGGTAACAGTCACCTCCTAGTTGCTAAATCCAGTGACTTTACCTGTGATATTTGATACTGGCAGCCACTCCTTGTCTTGAAACTCTTTCCTGCCTTGGCCTCTGTGACACCTGCTTTCCTGGTTTTTTTTTCCCACACATTCATTTTCATATATATATGAAAACATTCTGGGTGGAGGGGGCAAAGGGGGAAAAACTGGGACAACTGTAATAGCATAATTAATCAAATGTAATTTTTAAAAAATCACCTATATATTCAGTTGCTACAAAAACAACAAAAATGCTAGTAAATCTCAAGTCTCCATGTCCAGCCATGTCCAGGCCTATCTCCTGAGCTCCAGTCACAGAAGACTAATCACCTGCTGGGCTACTGCCATTGACAGTCCCTCAGCACTTCATCGTCACGTGGTTAAGATGGAATGTTCGATCATTTCCCTGGTCCTGAACCACTATGTCTCTTTGTCAGTAAACCTCACCAGACTTTGGACATCTTTGTTAAGAGTCATCTTGGATTCCTCCCTTTTCATTACTTCCCATTTGATTCATCACCAAATCTTACTGATCCTACTGGTATACAAGTAACCTGGATGCACCTGCTCTCACCTGAAGCCGCATCTTTGCCTGACATAGCATCCAACAAAACAAACACTTTTGAAAAGTGATGTAAATCATTACTGTAGTCCGCCCCCAAACACTAAAGGATGATTACATTACACAGAGCAAAATGGTCTAAAAACCTCTTTGCACATCCATTTCCTCAAAAAACCTACTTGTCACAGCATGGTGGCTGAGCTATGTCACTTAGAACCCTCTCTCAGAACAAAGGTTCAAGATCCCATTGTAGATCTTGAGGCTGGAAGGCTGCAAGTACTCATGAAGGAACACACATTTTACTCCACCACATACATTTGTTGAATTTGCGAATGATCTCCACATATATTCCTTGACTCTTTCTTCCTTCTTAAAACTTTGTTTCTGCCACAATGTTTAGCCTCTAACTGGTTTTTATTCCTCTCTATTCAAATATCTTTTAATTGTCCTGTTTGCCTCTACCCTCTCCTCTCTCCAGTTCATCTTCCACATTGACACTAAAATCATTTCTAAAATCCGATCTGTTCATGTTATTCTGTTGCTTAAAATCTTTTAGAGGCTTCCTTCCCTAACCTGAAAGGTGAAGTCTAAACTCCTTAGTGCTTCAGACAAGATCTCAGTCACCAAGGACAGGATACAGCCTGTGTGTCCAGTCTCATCTCCTGTAACTCTGCCTTAGGCGTCACGTGGACCAGCCTTCCTTATGTGTGTCTGCCCAGTCTGCGATGTGTAAGTCAGACCTTTCCGCTGAGCATCATGATGCTATATCAACACTCCGGCAGACATCCGTGCTTCAAGTTTAACGTGGACCAAGGTGAGATTAACATCTTTTCCTTCCCTCCTCAAAATCCTCATTTTTTCCTTAGTGGTGCTACCATCCACAAGTTAGAAGGTCATCTCTGACTCTCCCATTCCACTTACTCTTCATATCCAATCAAGTTTTGTCAATTTTACCTCCAAATTCTTCAGTTCATCTTCTTGGCCACTGCATCAGTGTTCCAATCTTTCTGCATCCAGTCTTGTTCTCTTCAAATCCATTCTCTACACAACTGTCACAATTTAGACAACTGCCTCCATTTCTCAGTAGCCCTTCTAACCTCCTCCCATCACATGATCAGGTGCCTGCTTGCTCCTACTGCCTCCTGCTCATCCTTGTCTGCAACCTCACACTCAGCAGCACACCCGGCCCTGCAGTCTGGGAAAACAAATGGTGGGAAGCTGTGCACCTATGTGCGGAAGTGGAGAGGGATAGTTAGATGGCAGGGAGTAATGCTTTAAGGTGGAATTTTATTTTGAAAGCTGAATTTAGATAAATAAATGTTTCACGGACTTGAGAAATATTTAGGGCAACATAAAAATTGTGAGGACAGTTTTAAACAGAAAGTAGAAACAGAATGTTATAGTGGGAGGAGCTCAGAACTGGGAATTAGAATTAGAATCTAGTATTG